CTGAAAAAATGTTAGGGTTGATATTTTCATTCTCTTTTTTTCTTTTCTCAGCTTCATTAAGTTACAAGTGATCTATAATAAACTGTGCACTAAAGGTGCAGAACTTGATATTTTGGTATATGTACATACTCAGGAAAGCAACCCTGTCACCCAGATAATGAACGTTTGTCACCTGCTGCAAAATCCCTCCCCACACCCACTCCTAGGCAGCTACTGATCTGCTGGCACTCTCCTTTTGCCTGCGTTTTCTAGAATTTTATATAAATAGAAGCACACATTAAGTACATTATGTACACTGTTATGCTGGCCTCTCACTCACTAAAATATATTGAGGTGCAAGCTGTCGCGTATTAGCAATAATTATTTCTTTCATCATGAAGAATTTTCTTGCAAGGACATATCAAATTTGCTTATCCATTTGCCTGCTCAGTTGTCTCCAGATTTTTCTATTACAAATAAAGTTACCATGAATATTTGTGAACAAATCTTTGAATGGACATGTGCTTTTATTTCTCTTGGGGAAATTACTTTGGAGGGAATGGCTGGGCATATGGCACGTGTAACTTTAACTCTTCAAGAAGCTGCCAAACTGTTTATAAAGTGCGGCTTTCTATCCCCACCTTGTACAAAACCCCTGAGGGATTCACACCATCCTGGTGCTTGGTATGACCATGTTTGTTGAATTTAAGCATTCTGGAGAGTGTACGCTGTTACCTCGTTGTGGTATATTTTGCATTTTCCTAATTTTTAATGATGTTGGATATCTTTTCATGGGCTCAAGTGACACTGTCTTTCTTTCTTTCATGGGTACATGTTTAAATCTTTTGCCCATTTCTGGGGTGTCTATAATCTGACTGAGTAGTAAGAGTGCTTTGTATGCTCTCTATATAAGCCTTTTGTGGGTAAATGTTCTGTATTTTCTCAAAGTTTGTGATTTACCTTTTAAAAAATTTTATAAATAATGTATTTTTTTGTTAATCAGAAATAATTTTAACTTATTTTAAAAGGACTGGTCATATCAGATAGGAAAAACAACTATGACGATTTTAAAAAGACCTGACTTTTTGGCAGATTGCAGAGCATAATAAAATTAAAAAGCTTTTAATAAACAAAAACAGGGTGAAAATCACAAAGCAGAAGAAAGGGGCATTTCTATGTGTTAAAATAATTTAATTGCCCTGTACATTTCTGTCCACATGAGAGATGAAGATGTGCACTTTACAATATTTACCTGTTTTGAGGCATTCGAGTCAATTTCAATGGCAAAAGTAGAATTCAGTCACCAGGGAGATGTTTAAAAAATACATATTAAACAAAAAAGTGTCTTTACAAGTTAAAAAATAATCTTCCACAATGCAATAAATTAGTCCAAATTAATTGGTTGTTTGAGGTTGCAAGTAAGTTACTAACAGCTTGAGTCTTTTTCAGACTTGCTTTTTAAAGTGAATTTTATGTTACTGAGATAAGAACACTTCCTATGAGGTGCACCCTCTTCAAAAATTGCAAGTGTAGTGTACAATGCAGCATCGCTGACAGTAGGTACAAGGTTTCCAGCTGGTCTGCAGCTCTTCCTAATCTTATTTCACTGACACTTTGCCTGTGATTATCAGACTTGCTTCTTGGCTCTGAGAGATGGGATCAAGTTGGCCTTTAGTGGAGGGCAAAATGGCCTGTTCCTGAGGTGATACTCTTCCGAGCACACTAACCCATGACACACGAGTTACAAGGCTTTCACACTGGCCCTGGGGACACGGGCTGTTTGGGGAACTGTGTCAGTGCCAAGGAGTGCTCCTTCTGCGTAGACATCACACCATGTGCTTCTTCTCTCCCAGAAGTCGTTATCCTGCCCTCTCTGGCAGCCAATGTCTAACCACCAGTGTGTTGCTTATTTTGCCTGCTTTTTCAATTGCTTTACGCAGGAGGTAAATCAGTCCTGCTCTCTATCTTGAAGTGGAAGTCCCCTTTTCTTATTTCCTCATTTCCTCTCTCTCTTTATTCTTCATCATTTTTAAATGTAAAGAGATATATTTTCATATTTGTCTCTTGGGCCTTTTAGACATATTGTAGAGCATGATATATGTTTTTCTCCATCTGCTTCATGGGTGTATCCTGGAGATTACTTTCTAGTAGCGTATAGAGCTATGTCCTCCTTTCTTAACTGTATAGTACTCTGATATAGGAATCAGTGTCCTACTGCAGGGCAACCACGTTGTGTCGAGTTTTATTGCTGTAATTTTGTTTTGGTTTTACAAACAGAACTCTGATAAATAACTCTGTGGAACATTTCTTCCTATTCTGCCTGAGTATCACTGAGATACTTCATAGAACTGGAATATCTAGGTCAAAGAATATCGCTGTTCATTATAGTTAAGCTCCCATAAGAAAGGTACAAATATGTCCTTTCCACTGCCTCACTATCAGAGGGCACTGACAAAGTTTTAGTGTTTGTCAATCTGACAGATGAGACGTGGTCTCAGTAACCCATGTAACTTCATTTCACTTGCTGTATATGAAATTGGGCATCATTATGTGGAATATTTACTTTTTTTTCCCCATTAGCAGGTGATATTTTTTCTAAGCTATAGTATTTAGAAGTCCTTTATAAAATATTAATCCTTTGTAATATAAATTCTGAGAAGTTTTGGTTCCAATTAGTCATTTGGGTTATTACTTTGGGATGGTATCTTATCATGCATGTTTTAAAATGACAAGTAATTGTTTTCTATCAGGAGGAGCTTAATTGTAAAAAGTATGCATGCATATGCATAAAAAGCATATTAAATTAAGAATCTTCTCTGATGATGAGTTCTCTCATTATCTCTATTGTCCATCTTGAAACTGTCTCGGGTTCAGTTCTCTAAGATGTGTTTTTTTTTTGGAACTGGGGATCAAACTTGGGACCCTGTGCTTGTGAGGCAGGCGGCAGAACCACTGAGCTAAATCCCCGGCCCTCTGAGGTGTCTAACGCACCCTGTTCTACAGCTGTTGTCACTTCTCTAGAGTGGCATTTGTCTCCTTCCTCTAACACAGCCCTCACCTAAATCTTCCCCCTGTGCCCTGTCACATTCTCTGCCCCTTTCAAATACTGTTTTGCAAGCCTGGGATTTTTGCTCACATCTTTCTTCCCATTGAGTGATGATATGATATCTAGTTTCTTTGCATAAATTCGAGTATCTCTCAATTTTTCCCATTCTATCTGTTGAATATTCTCTCTCTCCACTCTCCTACACACAGTATCTAGATTGGTCACTGATCTCAACAAAAGCCAAATGCAAACCCTTATCCAACTATGGGCTCATTGTCTGAGTCTCTTTCTTGTCTTCTCCATCCAGCAAGATTATCTAGTGTGTTACACGGTGAGCAAGGGCCTTGTGTTTTCAATAAATCCCCCATTCACCCAACCAATCCTCTCTCAGGGCATTTGCTAAGCACCATATTAACAACTCTGAATAAGATATTTCCACAATACGGTGACCTTGTGGGCTTCATGAAAGGACTGGAAGAAAGACACATACAACAATTATGATAACGTGTAATACCCTAGGACTGAGGCATATCTTGGAGGGAAGGAAGGGAAGGATTCATCTTAAATGTAACTGATGTCAAGAAAGATAATAGAGATGAGATGTTTGGAATATTCAAGTATGAACGAGAGTTTGCTAAATTGACAGAGGGGAAAGGAATATTCTAGCCAAATGGAATGTCCTAAGCAGGAGAAATAGCATCATTCTTTACACTGTCCTTCAGCTTTTTGGAAGAGAAACGCCTTCCCTATTGACAATATGCCTTCTGGACTTCAATTACCTAATATACAATGAATTAAGAAAACTTGTGTTTACCTCATAGAATCATTGTGAAGGACAAACAAGATAACAATAACAGAGGATCCAGAAAATTCCTGACACACAGAGAAAACACAACAAATTGTTAACTACTAATGTAGTATCTCACCTTTCACTGGGGAAGGTACAGATTTAAAGACATAATCATTACTTTGTTCACTAATAAAACAATCTTCTAAGTTGCCAACCTCTTCTCTATATATTGTCCTGTTTGTCTTAAGTGTCTGTGGGATCTAGATGAAAGTTTAATCCTTTATTTCTGCTTTATATCAAGCACAGTATCTGTAACATACACTGTAGACCAAAAAATGCTCAAAATGTTCAATATGTATATACTGCCAATAACACTGCTGCTACATTTACTCATTGAGTATGTTGACTTGCTAAAATGCAGGTCAGAGCTATTCCCTTATGATACCCTATCTCTGAAAAACATGGCAGAAATAATTTAATAATTTTAAAAGGACTTATCATGCAAATATGCTTCTACTATTTAAAAAGAACAAATCATTGCATTATGATTATATCAGATTGAGTAGAGTCAATAAGTCAAAGTAGATCTGAACTCCACTGGGGCCATCTACACCACACTGACCACTGGGGAAATCCAAAGGAATTACAGTATTCCTCATTGGACACAAGCCATTTCCCTCTCATCCCCAAACACTGGTTTTTTATCCTATTTTCCCACCAGTATTCCATGTGACTTGCTTTTAACATATTTGACAGCACAGGAGATTTAGTCATCCTAAAATCTATTCTCAACATATTATCCTGGAAGTAAATACGTAAGTGAAGAAGTAACACTCAGTCCAATGAAACTAAGTCCTGTAATAGGAGGTAATGGGTCTATTTTGGGAAATGTATCAGACAAAGGAAGAAAAATGAAGCTGACTCACCTGGCTTCACCAAATTGAGTAACTCATAAAATAACAGGAAAAGAAAATGGTGTTTTCTCTGTATATAGAAATGTTTACCAGACAAACACAATTATCTAATTAAGTAAAACCGACTGATCTTTTCTTAGTGTAAACAAGATTTTTCACATGGTCATAGTAGCCCTCCGGAGGGTATAAAAAGCAAGAGAGGGCAAGGAGAGATCAAACTCAGATCCTCATTCTCCTGGAACCCCATCCAGCACCTCCAACCTCCGACACCATGGTCAACTCCTGTTGTGGCTCTGTCTGCTCTGAGCAGGGCTGTGGCCAGGAGAGCTGCTGCCAGCCCAGCTGCTGCCAGCCCACGTGCTGCAGGACCACCTGCTGCCGCCCCAGCTGCTGTGTGTCCAGCTGCTGCAGG